TCGTGCGCAAGCCAAGGAAGTATCTCAAGTCGCTCAACTTTCCAGGCGCGCGCGACTTCGACCTGGACCAAGATCTCATCCACAGCCGGACGGAACCCTACCGTCGCGTTCATCTACTACACCCGAACATGTTCACGACCACAGTCGAAGACGAGCTGAGCGAGAATAGGTGGCTGAAAAGCGACCCTGCTGACGTCGTCATTGAATGCATGGACCTTTGCGTTGCCGTATCGTCGACTTTGGAGGACCCCGGCCCACCACCCAACTCAGCCTTACCCCCTGTCCCAGAGATACCCTCGCAATTCACTCTGGACGACCAGGACGGCACAACAGTACACGATTCAGATGCAAGCTGGAGGAATACCCAGTCGACTATGAACGTTTCGTCAAGCGATGCTCCAGATGTTCCCGATCTTGAACTCCCATCAAGGAGCAAGTCTATAAAGTCTGCGGTATCTATCAAGTCCATGGCCTCACCGTTGTTGAAAGGTCGCGACATGATGGATTCTCCAACACTGCCGCCCACTAAAGATACAAAGAAGCCGGATATGTCAGGTCAATCCGCACGGCGGTTCGTAGCACATCAACCCAGCCTGGACAGTTTCGCCCAATCAATCTCCGGCAATCAATCTACCCACCATGACTTCCAAAACCACACCATGGCGTCTTTGCAAAGAGAGATCATGCTACTTCGGAATGACCTCAACTTTGAGCGGTATCTCAAATTGCAGCATCTTGCTCACATCGGACAGCTACAGCGGAAGCACATCAAAGAAGCGACTGTGGAGGCGGAGACTCAGAATCTGATCAACACCAACAAGACACTAAAAGCCAAACTCGCCAAGGCAAACGAGCTGTACGCCCAACTCAAGAAGGAAACGCTCACGAGTCGCAGTCAGTCCAAGAAGTGGGAAAGCGAGTTGAACAATAAGGTGCGATCGTACAAAGAGAGTGAAAAGACCTGGCACAGTGACGAGGGCGGTCTGCGATATGAGCTCCAAAGGACACAATCGGACTACGAGCAACTCAAGAAGATTGTGGAGAGAGCTGAGGCAGAGCAACTAAAAGCCCAACAACGAACCAAAGCGTTGGAATACGAGCTTGAAGACTACGCCGACATTAGGCGGGAGCTTGAGGGTGCTCAAGATAAGATCATAGCATTCGAAGACCAGAGGAAGGAGCTACACACCCTCATCCAGGAGCGGAACGACTTGCGCAACGATCTCGAAATCGCAAACATGCGGTTGAACAGCCGTGAGCAAGAACGCGAGCGGTCGATCAAGGCTTACGAGCGCCGGATCATGGAGCTTGAGTCCCGACTACAATCTTCCGACAGAAGCACTGGCAAGCCAGGGCAACTGCCGTCTTCTGTGCAGCAGATGCTCGACTCTGCGCTTGCAGCGAGCAATGCCAAGATGCAGCAACTCAAGAAGACTCATTACCGCCTCCTCGAGCAATACACCGAGCTGCAGATGAAGTACCATGAGCTCGAAGGGGAGCGAGAGGCTGAGATGGGACAGCTCTATCCCCGGGACAAGTCTGGTCATATCGAGTTTGGCACTTCACGGGTCAGTCGCAACTCCAGCCTCCGACAGGCGACCAACTACAGCTCGAGATATCTGACACCTCTATCTACTACCGAGGCCACCCCCAGCGAGGAGCAAGAGTATTACGAATACCGATCGCCGGACTCCGTCCACAGCCCAGGATCAGCCGCGTCACCACCTCGTCCTGCTCGGCTTGAATCACTACAACAGGGGAAGCCGCAACGATCTCAAACAGCGCCATCGCCGTACCCTGGGTTTGGTGGCGGATACGGACCAAACTTTTCCGCAGCATATGATGCGTCTCTCCACAATCAGTTTCAGGCTCCAAAGCCTCAATCTAGCGGGCAGAGTAGTTTCTCCGCCGACACCGATGGAAGCTCAAGTAAGGAGAGAAAAGACAAAGTAGATCCGAAATCGGAGGTCCGGATATACGGGCGGGGTAAGTTATCGGTATTACGTCCTGCAACATCGGAGGCTGACTATGAGACAGGCGGCGCTCAGAACATCGGAAAGAAGGTCAAAGAGAAGGAACAGAAGAAGCCTTCGTCTTCCAAAACTGGTGGCTTCCGCGGCCTCAAGGGCATAATGTGATCGGATTGGGTCACCTACTTGTTTTGCATGTTGTGGTGCCGATCGGAGGCGCCACCATCTCATCAGACGGAATTTTGCGCGACGCGCCTCTGTCACACTCGGTTATCTGCATCCTTCTCTATCACGTCTCGCTTCGGCACGACCACAACGGCCACTTCGTCATCACAGTCGCGACTCAACGAGTTCTTGTCCACTCCTCTTTCTTTCTTTTATTCATTAGTTTCGCATCTATGTATAACGACACTGCATGAAGCACAGGCCGTGTCAACGCCTACGACTGGTTGCATAGCCGCATAGTCCTCAGATACCTGCCTCCAATGGCATCCTAGCATCGACTTACTTGTCGACTGTAACATAGTCCCAAGACTAATAGTGTAATACATTGATACCAATCACACCCATTGATCTCTCCATGCTTACGCGTATGCATCAGCATCATACCGTCCTTCCAAAACGCTTGCATGTATCGAAGGCGCCCACAGCACGAGCGCCCTCATGCCAAGACACTGACACGCTCTCATTCGCGGAGAGCAGCCGAGTCATCACAACCACCTGGACCGCACCTGCCATTCAGATCCCCACGACACCACCAACATGCTGAAGATCGAATTGCGACGATCAATATCCACAACCTCAGACCCAGGGACGCATCAGGCCCGCAGCTACTGCAACCGCCATCGCAAACAGTAAAGTTTTGATGGGCCCCGAGTACTTGCTTTTTCCTCGTCTGTCCACACATTTGCAACAGTCAGCCCCCTTGAAGCTAGCGCCGTTGGCACTATTCGGAAAATAGCTCACAGGAGATGTCATCCCGCACTAAGACGTACGACTAAGACAACGGCCGCCTTGCTGTCGCCCCTTCCTTCCTTCCTCCCCACGTTCGCGGCGGCCGGGAGCGCGAGCGTACATAAAACGGGTTGAGCGTGTTTGGTACTGTGCTGGGTGCCGTAACGTGGGGATCCTTGTTAGACATGCACTACTCGGTAGATAACCAACTCTACGATGGATCGCATAAGGCATCCATACGGCAGATACGCGGCAAAAGCCAAGACCTATCGCGACCCCGTCGGGCTTTCCATAAGCAAATGCTTTCTCGACTCACGCATCCTTATCGTGCGAAGGGCTGACTCGTGCTGCTGAGTCGGTGTCGGTTGTCGCTACGAATAGTGCCGATGGTTCAACAGTTGATCAACTAATCGCGGAGACGGGTGCTGCCACACTGCAGGCGCCGAGGAGTGGAGAGGGTGTGTGTTTGGAGGTGCGCTAGGAGGTGCCGCGCAAAAGGAAGGGGAGAAATTGAGGAGCGGGTGGGTACCCAAGCTTGACAGCTAAGGGGGGTTCGGGTGATTGGCTGGGTTGTGGAACCGGTCGTTGGGGAGGAGGTTGGATCTGTGGACGACGCTTGTAGTCTCATGGGCTTCACGCTCAAGCCTGGAGCCATTTCGCGAGGACGTGTGCATCTTGGTGGGTTGGTAAGTCGATAACAGTAGCTTACAAAGGCTCCTTGCCTGGACTAGTCGTCTCTATACTCAACCCCGGTAGCGACGAATGACTCTCCAAGGAAGGCGTGATCTATAAACTATGTATGCAGCAGGCAATTGAATGTATGACACGCACTCAGGATCAGCCGAAGCTGAGCTGGAAGCGTATATCGTCGATTAGGGATGACATTGGCTGTGCAAGATTCCATCGTCGTTAACAAACATGCTCTTATTCCGTGTTGCATATATTATAAACACATTGTAGTCTGCAACACTTCTCCACCTATAATCTCTCAGACATACGCCGCCTTCTCATATCAACAACTTTGCTGACGCTATATCTCTATCTCTCAAACGCATATCGAGTACATTCTAACCTATAAACTTCAGCTCATCGGCGCGTTCCGTGAGGTAGTGGTACAGGTTCCTTGAGACCAAAAACGCTCTAACGCATCTTTGTACGTCGATAATTGAGGGGCACCCTTATGGCCTACTTATCAAAATGCCAATTATACGGACTAGTGGAGTTCGCATAGATTAGTGAGCGGTTCCGCAAACTCTCTAGTAAACCAACATACTTGATACCTAATGGAAAGAGAATGCTTTAGATTTACAAGTATCTATCGCGACCGATCGATCTACTATGTTACTGTCGTGCGATCTTAGATCATGTCAAATCTTTTCTCGAAGCCAGGGACTGACTTCTGGAACTCATCCATGTCGTACTTCTGCGCCTCTTCCAACGGCTCAATTGTTGAACGACGCGTTCACTTACAGCCTGTATACTAAGAACATCCAAGCTTTGAATCTCATGGATGCTTGGACGATTGGCTGATTTGGGAAACCGGAGGTTGAGAGGAAGGATAACTCTGTGGACGACGTATGCTGTAGGGAAGCGGGTCTCGCACTTTGGATTCACCTGGATGCGTAACACACAACTATCGCTTACACATCGAACAACTCCAAAGATACATGTAGTAGGGAAGGGTGTTAATGATATGAGATCATGTTAAGGCGACACTAAGATGTAGTTGTATATCACTTATCAAGGGTAACGTTGCCTTACCATGAACATATTGTCGTTCGCAGACGTGCTAGTTCGTAATAGTGTATAATCTAGAAACACGTTGTATTCTGCAACACTTGCAGCTAGACTCTCTCATTCAGACACCGCCTTTCTCATATCTCGTTCATATTTCAGGCATGACACTATGCTTACGTGGTTCCATCATGAGCTCCACATGCTTAATTGCCAATACGTTATGCCGTCTCCTTGTCGAGGTTTTAAGACGACCTAAGCCCTGAGCTGCCCTTAGGCCACGCAGTCTTGTGGACTCCCTGCGCCATATTCTCATGACTGTTTCTTCTCGATCTCTCTCGGTTACTTCATAGCCATCCACCCAGGAGATGGCTATGGTACCATCCCAATACCTTTTCAGCCGCTCCCGTACCTCCTCCATACTCAGAGGTCTGCGGTATCTCCGTTGCTGTATTCCAGTACTGCCACCTGGACTGCTGATATCGTTTGATCGCTCAGCTTTCTCGCTCTCCTGTCTGTGACTCTGCGGACTCTCCTGCGGGGGACTAGCCTCTCTGCTAACATCCTGAGGCTCGAGACTTTTGTTTTTATCTTTCTGATCCTCCCACTTTCTCCTCTCCTCTTTCAGCGCAATGTACTTGAGCTTGTAGTGCTCGGTCTTCTTTTCTTGTTCGAAGAGCATCCCCTTCCAATCTTCACTCTCTTCCTCTTCTTTGACGCTTTCGGCCGGTGCCTGGGCAAGACTCTGTTGGGCGATGTACTTTTCTTTCCACTCTTCTCGTTGCGTTCGTAAGGTTCGTCTCTTAGCTTTATGCCGCGTGACCTCAGCCTCGGAGGCATCGATCTTGGCTTCCTGTTGTTCAAGCTTAACTCTGAGAGCCTGCACCTCTTGTTCCAATCCAGCGTATATTTCGGCTTCGTGGTGTGCGACAGCGGACTCCTACAATGACTAGTCAGCGGTCGCTCATGCGCAGATTGATGGTGTTGATGTGCAAGACATGAGAATTCGGTACTCACGGATGGAGATAAACGTTTGTTGGAGCCTACATTGCGACGTTAGCAGCTTGTTAGATATGAAATGAGTGGTCCACGCACCCTGCGATGCATCATCGGATGCACTGTCCGTCAGGTCTACGAAGGAGCGTTTGGAAGGGAGCGTGAAAGCCGAAGTCCCGCTTCTGAACGCAAGACCGTTGCCGCCGCTATATCCTTGGATGAACTGAGCTTGCTCCTGTACCGCTGCATTTTCGGCCTGAATGTCCAGAATTTCTTCATCCAGAGATCTCATGTCAGTCTGAGGCATCTTCTGGTATTGCGCGAAATTTCTACACGCCAGTCTGAAGCTTCCAAGCATGTCCGGACTCTCCAGGTCCAGCGCTCGTACCAGCTGGCCATCTTTGAGGAATATGAAGTTGATGACAGACTCGACCAAGGCCCGCTCGAACTTGCGTTCTGTAGTCATACGAGGCTTCGTGTTGCTGGAGTCGTGAACGCCGCTCATCGCGTTGAAGGGCGTTCCGTAGTAGACCTTAGAGGATTGGGTATCATGGATCAGTGGATTGACCTGAATTCCCTCACCCGAATAGTAGCGTATGTGAGTACCAGTCGCATGTGCCCACACAGGCGTACCGCCGCGTTTTCGCCAATAGTGACCGACGAGGAGCATACGCCGGCTGTAAGGTGTGTTGTTCTCGTCCAGATATGCTTTGTCGGCGAACTTATACATGCTGAGATCGGCGATCGCGGCGTATTGGTCCGCAAGTCTACCAGTAGCATACTGAACAAAGTCGTCCAGATTGTACTTTTTCCTGGATGACAGGCTCGCAGACGAGATGTTGGGCATGTTGCGCGTGGGTCGAACCGTTATACAGCTAGTCCTGAAGTTAGTCGGTGTATCTTCGCAGGCTCATCCAAGTAGTGAACTTACCAGCAGAAGACGGCGAATCGCTCCGTATACCTTGCCGCAGCCAATGTTCAAAGTGAGCAGTTGGAAAAGGCAATGGAGCTGTTATGTGAAGAACTAGAACGATGCACACGCTGTAGCTGGCGTCGGGCGCGCCAAGATTGTGAGCAAACGCCACGTTTAGTGTCAAGGAGGTGAAGGTGACGGTGAGCCGACATGGTGGGGCCAACGGATCTGCGATGAGAGCAGTCATAAGTCCACGCTCTGGCGAATGGGAGGTAAATCATAGCGGATTTATAGAATGGTGATAGAGGACTAAGACACAGCGGAAGAGGAGGATCGGAACAGTCATTGATTATAAGTTGGGATTATATACATGTCGCGATGTACCCGTCTTCGCCCTAAGTCAGGCATCAGCATCTTCAAATAACAACCCGATACAGCCTCACTCACCCCAACACGTGTGCTGACTTACGCCTTGTACACAACCTTGCTAACCTTGTACTCCACCACAACACCTGGCTTTCCCTCGCCTGTGACGAAATGGCCGGCAGCGACATACGTCCCATTCTGAAGCTCCTTGTACTTCTCGCTACCTGTCTCGAAGGTGAAATTGACAAATGAATCGCCGTAGTCCGTGGTCTTAGCGTCCGAAGCACCGGACAGCACCTTGCCGACGCCAGGTGTGAGCTTCACGGTACCCTTGTAATACATTGCTAGAATCGTTCCATCGTGGTTCCTATATACCCATGAGTCTTCAATATTCTCTCGAACGGGCATGCGCATCTTTGCACTCACTTGACTTGACTCCTGACATCCAAGCGCATGTTTCCGCCATCGGCGTCGTTGTGAATGTAGTCGTAGCCGGTACCGTGCAGCTCTCCATCCAGCTTTGGCTCGAAGCCCGGTTCACTCTTCACTGTACCGGATACCATCGGGACGATAACCAACTGCGCGCCATGCTGGCCTCCGACTTGCATCGGCGCATCGATGTCGACACGGACGGTGAACGCGGGCTGGAGAGATGGGAAGCCTGACATTTTTTTGATGTTGCAGAAGGACGTTGGTGATGTTTTTGTAGATTCAATGCTTGTATTGGATGCGATTCTTGGTATGTACGATGGGTTCGGGGTAGAGCTAAGCTATGTAGTTGGAACGCGGAAGCTACCCCTCTGACCCCACTTTGAGGGGAGGAGCTTCCTTCTTTCCGCACCGGTGACGGCATCAAATGAGAGGCATCCGGGCTGTGCATATTTAGCACTCGCATTTCGGAGTCACATGTACGGAACGAAGCGCCAACCCGAAACTCAAAATCCACTGATCCTCCCCTTCTTTTTCTTCTTCTTGTCTAGCTTTCCTCCAAACTTGCCCCGCTCTACTTGGCTTTGTGGCATCATGAAGCCACCAGTCTGGAATGGTACCTGGCTTTGACTTTGGCTCTGACTCGGTACCTGACTGCTACTACCCATACCACCCAGCATTGGCCCTGGAGAGCTTCTCGGATATGCGTTAAGTTGACTCGCAGTCTTAGCCCTCATGAGCTCGTTCTCGCGTTGTTGGCGCTTTTCCCTACGTTCCCTCTTTTTGCGTTCCTTCTCGCGTTGTTGCTGGCTCTCCTCATCTAGGTCTTCGGCCCGAAGAGTACGCTCCATACTGACCCAATTGTACGCATGCGGATCCTTTCCTAATTCCCAATGCGCGAGACTCTGGGAAACGTTTGGCGGTATGATAACCGGGCCTTTGGAAGTTTGAAGATACTTGCTGAGCCGACTAAGGGGGTCTGACGAAGCTGGCTCCATGGAAGGTATCTCGGGTGGGGACGATCCATACACAGAGGATGGAGGCAAAGACGAAGGTGGTATAGATGAGTATGGCGGTGTCGGTAACGGCTGAGATGCAGAATATCTTGAGGTGGAGTTGGACGTAGCCTCCTTTGGTCTTGCAGGCAAGATGGGTAAGGCTACGGCACTGTCCTGACTCTGCCCACGCTGTATGCTAACAGCAGGCACTTGGATCCGATCGTCACGTATACATGTGCTTGAGAACATCAACTCCGTAGCAATTCGCCGAGCCAGAAGTTCTTGGCGTTGCCGAACGCGAATTGGCATATCGGGTGGCATAGGCGCAACCCACGTCTGGAGTATACTATCGTATGCGTCGGAAATGGTGAGGTCGCCATCGTCGGTCAAGCCAAGTACGCGCATAGCTGCGATACGCTGAACATCCACAGTGTCTTGACCATTTGGCGAAGAGAACAGCTCTTGGAAGTTGGACGAAGCTTCGTCAATGTCTGCAACATGGAACTGTGCGTGCGTAAACTCCATCCTGCAATTGTTAGTTCAGAATGCAAGCAAGACCCAGTTCACTTACAGAGTACCCAATGGTAAAGGCGGCAAATCTGCACCAGTCGCCAGCATTTCGTTCACCTGATCCATGACGGCCACCGCATCGATGGTACCCGAGACCTGCTCCGCCGCGCTCTTTGGCTGAGATAGAATCTCGCCCAGAGAAGCATTGTCCCGAGTTTCCGGCACGATAGCACCGTCCGAGAATCTGCGCAATTCTGGCTGCTGCCTGCCGATCTTGGAGCTTGGTAACCCTCTGTCGACCAATCCATTAGGCACTATGAAATCCTCGTCTTTGTTGCGTGGTTTCGAGTTAAAGATGAGGTTTCTAGGGCGTTTGATCGTGCTTCGCGTGAAGTCTACAACGGCATGGTCATTCTCGGTGGTATGTCCTGTCGAGGTGCTCCGACTCCAGACAACCAACTCGCGCGTACTTAAGTCGGAGAGCGTCACAAACAGTTGGAGGAAAACGCAGTCTTTCTTTGAGTATTCCCATCGCATGGGCTCGATGTACAAGTTGGCTATGTGCGCGGAACCACCGATGGGTAGGTCTAGCAGGGTCGGATCTGAACTGGTAACGAGGCCGGAAGAATCGGAGGTATTGCTGCGGAAGTTTTGTATTTGAACCAAGTTGTTAACTCGAGAGTGGAGCATAACACATGTTTCTATCAGGCTGTGAGTGAGAGCTTTTGTCGCGCGATTGATCTGCAACTTACCATCGTCCGACAGCATCTGCACGCTTATGTGAAGTGTGAAATCCTCCACGCCCCGGTAGTGCCGCCAGGATGTGAGGACTTTAGCTCCAGCTTCACCAGCCCTCGGAAGCAGCTCACTTGGTGCAGTGACCGAAAGGAGGAATAAACGAGTGGAGGTCAAGACGAAAACCCGACTTCTATCTCTTGGGTGTTGCTTGACATCCAAGATCCAGTCTGCCGATCGCTCACTGAAAAGCTCTGGGCAGGGAAGGTATGACGTTGTCCTGCCCTTGATGCTGACGATGCTCAAATGGCGCCTGTTGCACACCAGCAACGTCGTTATATCAGCTACCCAGAGAATCCTCGCCCAACCGTCTTCGCAAGCTGTGTCCCCGTCCTCTTCCAGTTCATCGATCTTTCCACGAAGCAGGCATGAAGCCGAGTACGTGCCAAGTCTGGGCCGATGCTCGATGTCCCATACACTCCATGTCTGATTCAGGTCGACGAGTGCAAACTGCAACTGGAAGTCTGGATTGAATGTGACGTCGACATGAGCAAAGCCATCAGTATCGTTCTGACTTATGCTGAGTATAGGGTGGAGTTCGATCGAGGAGGCGGGTAAGCGGTAGAACGGTGAGACAGCGGAAGCGCGTGGTCGGCGGTGGTAGTCTGGGTGGAAGAGGACAGTACGGGTAGGCAGTCGCACAGCCAGAAAGGGTCTGCTGTCATCCGAATGCGAAAAGTGAACTTGCTGGATTGGTGCCGCTTCCTCATTCCAGAAGCCACTCTCCGTGTCTTTCAAGGTCCGCCCTTCTACCCATGACGTCGGGTCTGCTGTCCAACCGTGTCTTTCGTTGTCTAGGATTGACAACTGCAGTATGCTGCCAGATTCTCCCGTCGGCAATGCAGCTATTTGCCATGCCTCGTGTCTACCCTTGGGTGTAATCGAACCGAAGGAGAGTAGGTCGCCGACGAGCGGATCGTAGGTCGAAGCCGTGGATGATGTGGCAGCAGATACTACAGCTAGATCGGGGAGGACTTCGGCTGCTGCAGAGAGCTGAGGGTGTTCTTCGATGCTGTTGCTGATCTCTTTCTGTATGCTGGTCCTACTCGCTAGAATTTCTGCAGGGAGAGAAAATGCCGGTGTCGCATGACTGCTCGCAGGAGTCGCGTCCTTCGAAGTTCGTATGCGCTTGAATGGGCGTGCGGAATAAGGCCTGGCAAACGTCCACTCTCTGTTCTCCAAGTCGTAAGTCGCTGCACCGGGATGGCCATAGTTCAGATCTTTGAGCGATCTATCAGCCATTGGGCTGTCGTAAAGGTTCTCGATCCGTAACGACGCTGGAGTAAAAACTCATTCTTTGTACGCAGAAAACAAAAGGCTGTATGCGAGAGCGAAAATTGTGTCTGTCAAGGTTGAGCATGCGCCGGACGCGATGATGAAAGTAACCTTGGAACCTCGCCAAAAAGTTCCACTAGCGCCAAAAGTCGCGTCGGCACGTGCATGCGCCCCGCTGTCGTTCCTGCCGCACTAGCGCGCGTGTTTGTTTACGGAGCAACCATCTCATCCGCCCTCACCACCCATTGTCGCATCGCACCCCACCACATATTCGCATACGCAACGAGAGACGTTCAGATCAGATCGCAATCATGACGACCTTCGAGCCCTCCATGAGCACCACGATGCGCGCCTCCTCGCACGATGCGCCGTCCATGGCCGACCAACTACCCAGCATCAACTTCGGATTCGACGATCTGCGCAGTCGCATGAACCAGTTCACTACACGATTTGATGCTTTCATCGAGAATGGCCGCAGACGAGTACTGGAAGAGCGCAACCAGTTCCGCATGAATGTCGCAGAACTCCATGGTATGACAACGTCATATTTATCTGCGGGCC